TCCAACTTCCTCGTCAACGGCTCCAACCAAGCTGATCTGCCTCATGGGTCCTGCTCGATAAGTCCCTGAACAGTAAGTCCGATTCACCTAGGACAGCAGAAATTTTAAATATATTTCAGGGTGTGTGCTACAGTCTAACTTACTGTCTTTGTATACTGCATTTAGACACAAAACGAATGACTGTTAAATGTCAAAACCCGAAGAAGAATGGGCACTCTCATATCAGAGATTAATGATTGTGACAAAGCTTCAGTGACACTTTATGGCTAACAGATTCGATTTACTCAGTCACACATCACCTGGTAGCATATTCAAAGGAGGGGGAAAATCCATACACAAGTCACTCTAATGGATTTCTGGCCCGTGTGTGTCTAGCCGACACTACAGACCGTAATCTGTGAGTCACACCTTTATTTGTAGAAGCACATAAATGCATAGAAAATATACTAGACTACAGTCATTGTAGCAAAATGATCAAACGCTTCATGAATCACAGACGTGATCAGCAACATAAACACTGCTGTTTTATGTAATGACCTAGTAAAATTCTGTAGTAAGTAAAAACAACAACAACAAAAACATTTTGTGCATTTATGCAGTGGTGAGACGACAAACTGCTGAGCTCTGTATCCATTTCAGCATCGCACATTTGCAGATGTACTGACACAGTTTCATCTTTCTGCAGTTAGGAATCAATTTGCAACTAGGACTGGGTATCGTCACTGATTTCTAGAATCGATTCAATTCCGATTCACAAATTGATTCGATTTGAGTCGGGGAAATTTTGCCTCAGACAGTCTGAAATATTATAATTCTGATCACTTATCAGTACATATCAATATTTTTATATCTATAAAAAGAAAGTTGACACTTGTGAGACTTTATCAAAGGTGTAAGTATCACAGCAGATTTGCGTCAAAGTAACTGAGGATAAAACAGAAAAACATGAAGGCGCTTTCCTGGTCTGGGTTTTTATAGCACATGACCTTAAAAATATTGTGCAGTCAAAAACGAAGTGAAGCAGAGCAAAGTTACAGAGGTTTGATTAAAGACACAGCTAAGCCTTTTCCAATTTTGCATAATTTTAAAGAGTTTACATTTGTTCAGTATTGAACGGCAGAAATGAGGCTTTCTTGTCAGAAGTAAGTAAAACAACCCAAAACAAAACAAAAAAAACAGTGGCCGACACCATAGACTGGTGGGTAATAAGTAAGCGAATAATGCAAAAAACAGATTTTTAGATGGAAAACTATTCCTGAGAGAGAGAAAGAGAGACAGAGAGCTCATGAAGTGGGATTTTATCGTGGTGGAAGCAAAACAGCAAAAGTAAGAGGAAATTCGTGACGATGTTTATGTAAAGCGTAGTTTGGATCTTCTTTTGCTGCTGGTTCAGTCAATATTGTTTGGACAGAGATAAAACCTGAAGCTTCAGAATCAGCGCAAAAAGGATGTAAACACAAAGCGCCCGCCGATGGTTGTAGAAAGTTTGTGAGGTTTAACTTGAGATTTTGGTGTTTCGGGCAAAATACATTTATATTTAAAAATCGATTCAGGATTTTAATGAATCGATATCACATTATCCAAGCCAGAATCGATTTTAATCGATAAATCGATAATCAAAACCCACCCCTATTTGCAACGTCATGAAACAACTGTGACTGTAAAGTGCCCACTGAGAGCAAACACAAACACACCTCAACTTAATGAGAATATACATTAGACACAGACAGCTACTGAGAGGCAAATATTTTTGTACCTCATTTAAGATCGTGGCTTTTGTAAGACTTGCTCTGACTCACAACAATATTGATTTCATCTAAAATTTGTTTTCCGTTTTAGTGTATCGCATCTCACCAGAAAAAGTATCTGCACCTGATGTATAAACACTGGTGGAGTGAGGGAACTCATTGCCCTTATGGGCGATGCTATCCATTTCCACCATCTACAACTTAAAAACACTCAGTCTGATAGTTTTCGTTCATGACAGATAATCTCAGCTGTAACCTGATTTACTCCATTTATGTTTTTGCATCTCTGACACAAAAATGTTCTTAAAAACAAAACAAAACAAAAAACCCCCCAAAACCCAACATATTCTGCAAGTTTAAATTTGCTCTTCCCAAAACTACCCCCTCTATAAATCCACTTATGCTCTGATATTATAGCACAAGAAGTTTTGTACTGTTAGTTGATTAAAACCAAGGAATCTTTACACTAAAACATCTGTTAAAAGCAATATATATTTAACATTTAGTTAGTTCCATTCATAATGGAAATTACTCTTTTCAGCCTTTTTTTAAAAAATAAAATAAAATATTTTAAACACAAATTCATGCTGATCAGCATCTAACCACTCTGCTCACCCCAAGCAGTGTCCTGTACTGTATTTGTTTATGGAAGTCACGAGGGATTCTGTTTACATTTTTTGTGTTATGGTCAAGAGAACCCTTTGCCCTTTTCACATACCTGAGACTGAAAGTTGGCAATAGTGGTAGTCTCAATGTCTTTCTTGCCCATTATCTCCATTTTGACCGGCGTGTTGGGGAAGTTGAAGGCAAAGTAGTCCAAGAAGTCCGGTAGGTATGCAGCTGCATTGTGTACTACTGACAAGGCATATGAGGCTGCACCTTTAGGCTTTTCGGCAAAAGCCAGCTTCAGAAATTCCTGGGCAAAGCACTCCATCTCAGCCGGACTAAGACAGGCCAACTCGTCAGCATAGGCGTGCAAGATAGACCCCCCACCATTGGGTTGCCTTTCCTCGTGTATGAAGCGTCCATATCGTGTTCCTGTCTGGAGACAGGAGCTGCGGATGTAGTGGTCCTGGTGGGAAAAGAAGGGGGCGTGAACCTGTTTGAGAGCATGGAGGTGGGCCGGGTAGTCGACAGCATCTCTGCCGGGATGGTGATTGCTTTCATGCTTAATGCTGCCAGGCAGAGAAGGATCTTTTCCAACCCCTGAGCATACAGTCTGAACGGCTTTGTTGTGCATGTGTCGAACCTTCTTGACACCGTGCTCATCCTCATGATTCTTCTTCTTCTTCTTTTTTTTCTTAAGGAGATATTCTTCTAGTGTTAAAGACTTGCCATTCTCATTGTGAGGCCTTGGCTCTACAAGTAAATGAGCAGCTAAAAGTTAGAAAAGAAGGATGTGCATAAAAAAAGCTGTGTTTAGCTCTGTTCTTTAGTCAACCCATAATGCAGCAGACTAGCAATGATGATTAAAGGGAGGTTCGGGGACATATTTTCTGTAAGTTTTACGTATTCATTGCTTCTTTTTTTCTTATTTACTATCAAAGGATATACACTAGGTCAGTTGTATAGCTACTCTATAAATTGCACTACTTAACAGCAAACATTACAAATTGTTGTAATCAAAAGACTCACACATTACATGCCATTACTTGTCATTCAGATCCCCCCAACATCCATCTTCAAATGCCAACAGTCTTTAAACGAAAGTAAATAAATAAATAAATGAAAATAGCAAAGCTCACCCTTCTTTTTCTTCAGTTCGGCGTGTTTCACATTTGCTTCTTCATTTTCCTTCTTCAGCTTTAGTTTCAGGTCCTTATCCCTGGGCTTTTCTTTGAATTCCTGGGGCTTGGCCTTGACCACTTTGAGAGGCGTGAAAGTGAAGAGCGCAGGTGGCTGTGAAGGCACCGTTTGCTTCTTCTGTAGCTGCTCCGGCACCTTTCGCGGCTGAGGCGGAGGAAAAATCGGCTTCTTCGTGCCGTTGGTGAGGCTGTGATTGTGATGGTGGCTGTGCAGGACGTGCTTGTCCGTGCTGAAGTTGTGGGGCTTGGGATTTTGCTGCAGCTGATGCGGCTGATGGATCCGGTGCTCGGCATGTTTGTGATTATGATGGTGGTGATGGAGCTTCACGTTTTTCGCTTCTTTTTCAGACCTCTCCCGTTTGTCGGCCAACGGTGACAAGTCCCTTTTCTTTTTCTTCTTCTTCTCTTTCATGAATCGCTCCAGACGATCCCTTACCATTTTGTCTTCTACTTTGGCACGGAGCAAGTCGACCTGAGCTGCCATCTTTGCACGTACAGTAGTCAACAATTTAAAGGACTCTGGGTTCCTACTGCGCAGGTCCCCGACAATATGTAGTCCTCTTGCCGTTAATTTGTAGTTCCCTTTCGCTGATTTGAGTCCATTGCGCACGCGCAACGCATTGATCTGTAGGTAATGTAGTTTAAAGACGGCGCATGGCTGCATGGGAGTTGGAGTTTGGAATGTACTGAATGCGTGCGGCTTTGCACGCACTCACCTCCGCTCAGGTGACGTAATGGTTAACCCACTGGAGGCGGAGCTTTTGCGTTTGCAGCGGGTGAGAGCTGTGAAGTAGCAATATTACACGCCACAACGATAAACCACTGTAACCGACTCCAATTTGAGGTAGAAATATATATATTTTTTAAAGTTGTCATCATAATGCAGTGGCACACCCACTAGAGGCGTAAAAAGAGGACAAAACAAACATGTTGAATCAGTAAACCTTTATTTATCAGTGCATGAACAAAATGCCATGACCAGATTATTATTATTTCTTTTGAACCACTTTATAGCATTTCCTCTCAGTTCCCTTCCCTTAAAAAAATAATGAAACAATTTAGAGGATTTTTTCCTGCATGAAGGCAAATATTTATACAGGTGCTGTACAATTTATAAACATTTACAACTACCATGATGTAAAACTAAAAGTTTTTTTTTTAATATATTTATATATATATGTATATATGTTGGAGCAATACAAGGCCACAGTATCATACATGGTAATGGCATGAACAGTAATTAATACAGTATCGCATCATAGTCACAATAAAGTGGACAATAAATTAAGCAGTGGTCTTACAGACCCACAGATGCATGTATTACTGCTTCACATCCTTATGGGTTGGGTTCAAGCAATAATTTGCTTGTGAACAGCAGTGTATAAACCACTAGGTGTCTCTACTCCACAGGAGAAACACTGGAACGATGCTACATTGTCATTTTAGAGCAGGGCAACATATCCCAATAACTTTTTTATTACACTGAATTTATTAAAAAAAATAAAGTTGACAAACCTTAGATTGTAATTTCAAGCCAGACTCCTAAAGAAATGGTACTGCCAATTTCATGCACTATATGTTCAATCACCAAAGGGTGACTATTTGGTGAATTCTTCAGGCATCTTGCCTATAATGGAGCATAATATTAATACTATACTACTTAAATCATGGGGGTCATGTACTAAAAATAATGATCAAAAATAGATATTTGTGTTGGAACCATCCGTTTTTGTGCCTATATTTATGGTTAACAAAAAGACATATCTTCTAATGTTTTTAGTAAGTTAAAAGCCAGATGTCTCACTTCTTACAGTCAGCCTCTGTTAATTCAATTCATGTATAATATGAGTCGATATATGTGTAACCACTTTGTTAAATGAGATATGTTTCATTTTCAGTATAGTCGATGCTACAGTGATATTTAAAATACACAGGCCTACAAGTCAGCTTGTATACGTACACGCAGGCAGAGGACCTAAAATACAGAGCTGTGAACAGTCAGCAACTTTATGAATCAGGCTTGAATGAAATTAGATGCATAAACTGCAGTCTTTGAATGTATTCTTTTAGATGGAGATGCTTATCTACACGTTCCATTTCTACCTTGCCTCATCAAGTCCACGTGAAAAGTGAAATTATGTGTACTAACTGTTCTGTGTACATTTAATTTCAATAAATTACATTATGCTTTATTTTCATTAACACACATATAACAAACATTAGAACTATAACCACAAGTATCTGGTCTGCTGATTTATGCATATAAAGCTCCAGGGTAGTCTTTCCATTCTCTGATATGCTAAGGGGATTCATGTCTTCGCATGTATGAATGCAGTCACACAGACGATTCACGACTCTAGTCGGTCTCAAAAAACAAACCATAAAGGACTTACAAGACAGTTTCGCTTTTAAGACAGCGATCAGAGAAAATCACAAGTCTCAGTTTTTAAAACATCCATTTGTGACAGCAACAGTGAGTTAGTCTCACCTGGAAGAAAAGCTGTGATTGCATGTGTATGCCTTTAAACCTTCAAACGTGACACACGTAATAAAAAAAAAAAACAAAACAAAACAAACAAACAAAAAAAAATCTGGATCCTTCATCGTGGTGGGGAGGAGAGCAGTTTATCCAAAAACCCCACAAACAGTCTCACAGTGAGTGCAATTAGGAGCAGCTTCTTTATATTACCGGAGTCTCTGATTGGCACAAAATAGACGTCATTGTTACTTCCAAATACCACACTCAGAACCCATCTGTTACACACATGCTTACACATCATTATACAGTACAAATTCTCATGTAGGTACAACGTGTGTCGGATCAGATATCAGCAGCTTGATGCAAACTGATGTAGGCAAAGTGGTTGGAGAAAAAAAAAAAAATCAGGAGCAATGAGAAGCTATGTTGCTGGTTGCACAGTGATCTGCTATGTCAGACATGTCTAAAAATTCTGAATTCATGTTTGTGGCTCAGCTTTTTCTTTATATATGCAGAGTCCTGGCAGGGTTTCAGATATCTGCATATGTGGTGTCCACTCGGGACTGGATCTTGGCAGAACTGGGAACTTTCCACGGGCCCGGGGTGATGGGACCCTTCTTGCTGGAAGTGTTCCCATTACAGCTGGGGTCTGGGATGCTACTGTTTGAACCTCGTGGGTCCTTTTTATTCACTTCTTCAGTTGAACCATGGTACTTGCCATCTCGATGTTCCTTGTCCCGTTTGTCTCTTGCGGTCTTTCGGCTCAGTGTGCCACCATCAGCGTCTGACCCCACCCTCTCCCTGTATGCTTGGGAGTTGGATTTTTGGACCAGTGCCTCTTGCTCAGCCCTCTTTGCCTTTCTGTAGTAATCAGTGGTTCCCCAGGTTTTGTCTCCACTCTCTGTAGCTCCTCTTTCCTGCCAGTAAGCTGAATCAGTCTGCTTGTACCTCAGGTCCTTCTCTTCTCCAGAGGCAATATTGGGCTTTTGGCCAGCTGGGCGCCTGGGGCTGTGAGGCTCCTCCAGGTTGCTCAAAGGCACGGCAGGGTCACGTTCCCACTTGGAGCCTCTCTGTCCCTGGGCTTTTCTGTCCTTGCTCATGTCCTCCAGGGATCCGCTGTGGCCTTGGTCTGTTTTTCGAGGGCTCTGGGAGCGATCTATGTGCTCCCTTTGGCCTTCAGTGGCTCTTTTGGGGCTACCATTTGCGGAGTCGCTCCTGCTTGTTTTATTGGTCTGGGTGCTTGGGCTGGTGGTGCGCTTATGGTTAGGGTCAGAGAGCTGCTGTCCTCTTGGTTTGTTAGCCTGCCTACCATGCTCCCTCGCAGCACCAGGGGACCCACGTTCTATGCCGTCACCCCCAGGGAACTCATCAGGGGCAGATATTTTGGGTGAGGATGGGGAAAGTTCAGAGGTAGAGAGGGAGACAGAGGATGGAGAAGCTGGAGATGACTGCCCGTCAGATACAGAGAATCTGGGAAAGCTTGAGGTTGGAATGGTTACTTTGTCCTTTGAACCTACGAAGCAAGCAGCAGATAGTAAGAAAAAAGTTTGAGCTAAGCAAAAAAACTGCTATGTGAAAGCAAAGAAACTGCAGAAGCTAAAAAAAAAATCATAACGAGATATTTTTTGCACATTCAACAAAGATTAAAGATGATTAAATAAGTCATACAATAGAAGCGCGATATGCTCAGTTTTTGGAAAAAAGATTTTTTCCGTCTACCACACTTTCTGTAATAGTCCTTTGTAATAGCCCCCTCTAATATATTTGCCTTGTTTGAGATGTGTATCAGCTGACAACGTAGCTATCAATGAAAAGGTGCTAGAGTTCACTCAGCACTGACGTTTCAATTTTCCCCAGAGCTGATAAGAACTGCACAGCTGTAGTTGAGAGCAGATATATGCAGCAGAAAAAAACAGAGAGAGAAGAGGGAGCATGATGGACTTAGAGGTGCTGAAATGAGCTTTTGGATTTCTAAGAGCAACAACTCAGAGAAATTCATTCAAATAATTTTGTCTTTGGATTGAAAGATTGATGCCAGTGAATAAACACAGATCCTTTTACCACTTTTCCACTCACTGATCAATATCTGGTTAAGAACTTCTCTCCAGGCCTCCATCTTCACTCAAACTAAGGACGCAGTGAGTGTTCAGTGGCATCTTGTTTTGTAATACCCTTAAAAAATAACCTGTGAGGCTCAGAAGCCTTCCAATGCTCCTGCAGGCCTGTTTGTTCTTCTAGGACTCACTGCTTTAGTTCAGCCCTCTGCATAGTCTGGTTATACTGTAATACATTAGGTTATTACTGAGCTACAACGAACTGATCTATTCAGGCTGATCATGGGGGATGACATAGTGGATAGAGAATAACACTTTAATTTGGGAGTTAAATCACTCTGAAAGGAGAGTTCTAAGACAAAAGTAGGTGGAGTACAAGGATTACCAATGTTATTAGGGACAGACCAAGAAAAACAGTGAGGCCTTTAGTGATGCTCTGGTTTCATGTAGAAGCACAGGGTGGAAGAAGAGTTCAGACCTATAGAAGGAAGAGATAAAAGTAGAAATAGACAGCCGTGCTAGAGCAGAAAACAGAGAAAGCAAGGCAGATAAAGAGCACAAAAGGCAGATCCAAATAGCAGTAGTAAAACAGAATGAGAAGAGAGAAAAGTCAAGAAAGCTTGCAACACATGCATGAGAAAAAGGAAACTCGGCACCCTGCTATCTAGCATATCCATACAAAAGCTTCTCTATATGTATGACTAATAAGCTATTAAGTAGATCGATATGCAGCGGCGACAACATGCACGCAGTGCTCTGCAATAACTCACTGTGATCCGGGACCAAGCCCTGGCCAGGTCGGAGAAGTAGATGAACTTTATTGCCTCCTGCTTGGATCAGCTCAATTGCCCGAGTGTGTGTAATGCCCTGTGTGGCCTCGCCATTGATCTCCACTATTTGATCTCCAACCTGACAAATAATAATAAAAGAAAAAAAAAATCTATTAACATTAACTTTTCCACTGCTAGGGGCAGGATGTCTCATTTTGCCCGAGGTACAGTGCTCTGTGAGAAACTCAAAGCTTTGATTAGGAACTATTGCACTTCAATAAAGTGGAGAAAGAAAACATACATGTATCCTGCCATCTTTAAGAGCGGGTCCCTCCTCGGCCAGTCGAAGAATGAACAGCCCCATGTTATACTCTTTCCCTCCTCTCAGGCTGAAGCCGAAGCCCCTCTGGCTGCGTTCCAGCTCCACCACAAAGCAGCCCTGTTGTTCACAAGAAAGATTGTGAGCTTTTAAGACTGAAGCAATTGATGCAAAATCATTCCTGAGGTGGAAATGAATCTGGAAAATCTATTACTTGGTTGATATATATCACGATCAAGAGTTTCTGGGGATCAATTGACACCAGGGAAGAATGACAAGATTACAACCATAAAATACTACAACTGGGGAAATATAAACATCAATGGCCTCACCTGCTTAGGGCCCGATGGAATGAGAGTTCCTGTCCCATCTCTTGGTGAAAGATGATTCTTAGCCTCGGAGTCACCATTCCTACCCCAGAGAAGATGCATTACAGTGTAATTTACTATAATATGACACTAAATATTTACTATATTTAGAAAACAATATTTCAAAGACATGAAATAGACGTCGTTTATTATGAAAATTTGAGTCAGTAAACAGTTATTCTGACAAGGTAGACTGTGATATGTTATGCGCAATATTCATACCAAAAATAATAAGAAGCAACCATGGTGGCAGTTTAAAGGTGAGGGAAACACGGCCCTTTGTATAACCCAGGTAAACTAGACGAGTATTAGCTGTTTGCTAATCCACTGGCATTTATAAAGGCCAATAAATGAATACTAAAAGAGAAAAGAAGAAAAACCCTTTAACCATCTTATGAGTGTTGACATTGCAAGTCTATCAGAGGGCACTCTGGCAACCAACATGCTTGAAATGCCACAAACACAACTGATCCAAGCAAACTGGGCAGAGCATAAACGAGTAAATAAATAACGTAAGAAATATCAGGGGAATCTGTTTATGCCTCAAATGTCTGAAAGGAAAAAAGAATCGATCGAAAATATATCAGAATATCAGGATTTTAAATCACTAAAAATCACACACACATATACACGGACACACTAAAATATCAACATTGGCCTCAAAAATCGAATTCTAATGAAAACCCATAAAATGCATGTGTTCGGTGCTCTCATACATACATGCCTGTACCAGCAGCTTATTCAAATGTAATATTAGTAACAATGTTTTTATGCATATCCCATTTTAAATATAGAATCAGAGAGCAAAAACAAAAAAGGAGAAAAGGAGTCTAATTCTGTTCCCTCTCTGCTGTGTCCAGTGTGAGATCCACACATTACTCCTCCTTCATTACAGCAGCATGAGCCTCTTTTTGTTGGCTTCATTATGCAACACACAGAGAAATGTAAATTCTTCAAAGAACCATGTTGCTTTTACATTTCAGTGATAGATAAGGGGGCATACTTTAATGCTTCGCAGAGCTCATTACAATGCCTTTGTGAGAACTTTGCTGTGCTGACGCACTATATAAAGAGCGTAGGAATTCTTACCAGCTCTAGCTTTCAGAAGAGTTTGCACACTTTATGCCACCAAGCTGAGAGTTTCAGCTCATATCTGAGCCTAGTGTGACCCAAGGCATGTTGGTGATTAAGCGGAGAGGAAGAGGCTGAGGACTGGACAGGGGGCTAAATGTGGAGAATATGAATGCATGCTGATGGGCAGTGAGTGGACGTGGGCAAGAAATGATGGTGGCAAATTTCTGTGGCAGTGGGATTAAAAAGTCTGACACAGGTGGCCTTGTTTAAAAAGAAAGATCAAAGGGGAAGCAAGACTCCCTATTAATCTGTCTCTTTTCCTTTGCTTCACCATCCAAAGGGTGACCATAGGGGGATTTTCTGTCTTTTTGGATAACGAGGAGTGTGTGAGGCACAAGAGATAGTAATGGGCCACATTGCAGCACAAAACCGAAGGCGCTTTGAGAGGATTGGGGCTAATTTATGGTTCAAGTGGCAGAACCTGTATTAGATTGTCTCCAGTGGACTTAGTATTTCAAAGGGGAATACTGGCAAGCCTGTGTGGATGCTCAAGCTTGTGTGGGAGTATGCGTGTATAATCGTTTACCTGTCTTGGTAGCTGGGAGGCTGTTGGCCTACAGCTCTGTGTTGTGCCGAAGGGCTCTGCTTGGCTGAATTTGTTCCAGACGGAGGAGCGCTGTCTGTAAAAGTAAAAGTGTGCCAAGATTCCTCATGATCTTATTCCCGGAAAATACAGTTAAAAAACAAAGCAAACAATGACAAAAGAACAGCGCAGCAACACTGTGACTTGGCCTGTGTCAACTCACCATCTTCAGGCACAACAGTAAGAGTGACAATGTTTCCAGCATCCTTGATGAGTTGAACAATATCGTTGTGTGAAAGCTCCATGATGGAGCGGCCGTTGACAGCAGAAATACGGTCTCCCACCTTCATTTGACCTATACGGTCTGTAGGGCTGCCTTCAATAATACGACCAATTTTGTGAGGTATAACTGGAAGAGAGCAAATCAGAGAAATGACAGTCTGCAGTGTGGGATGTTTATGCAACTCTATAAGCCCAACATTTAGAGACCAAATTTTAAGTAAGAACACATAATGCCTTTATGTGATGTCCTGCACATCATGTACAGTAAAAGCATTACGCACATGCTAACATATCAGTTTATGACTTATGTTACACTCAGTCTTAGTTGAGCACATACCCAATAAGCTCTTTACAGAGAATAGCTAAGATTAACAAGTTGTGCCATCAGCTTTGGAAGTATTTGAATATTAACAGTATGAAAATAGCATTTCTTATCTGAAAAGGGAATTTATTGTTTGCGATTATTTCAGGACAATCCTTCCAAAAATGACTTTAACGCTTCCCTCCCTACATGTTCTCCACTAGCATAACTAAATGTCAATAAGTAACAGATTTTGCTGGAAATGTGTTTGATGTTTAAAAGATTTTGCAATGTTCCAAAAAGTAAAAACACAATATAGGATTTCATTTTTAAGGATTTATTGATTTTATTTATTTCTAACCTCCAGGTGGGGGCTTGTTCTTTGACGTGAGGATGACAAAGCCAAAGCCTTCGTTGTCTTTGCGCTGCAGAGTAACATCAAAGCGCTCAGGACGGGTAGGCTGAGCAGGCTGGATGATGCTTGGTGCTTCAGTACGAGGCATCTTGGGAGAGCTGTTGACCAAAGCAGATGCAACCTGCTGGGGCTGCTGGCTGTTGTCATCTTCTCCTCCACCATCTTTAAAAAAAAACAAAAACAAAAAAACGGTACAAAAAGATTAAAACACAAATGCTTAGCATTGTAGCAAATTTGGACTTCATTTCTAGGACTGATTAAAAAAGATGCGATATATTAACATTTCAGAATGATTCTACCAACACACGTTAAGTATGAGCAGTCTGATTTAGTTAACATAAATTTAAACCAATAACAATTATTTGACAAAATCTTTCTGATTTGCTCTTGCAGAGATCCTTCTGTAAATAATGCAGAAGCAGGGGCTTTATCAAAGAAGCCTTTCTGCAGCATGTCTTACCCACATTAAATGAAAGACCGTCAGCTCTACAGTTGAGATAAAAGGCCTTTCCAATTTGTTATTCATAAGACAAGCTAAGCAACCTCCATCTCTCTTCATTGTATGTTTGTTTTGCTGAGTCTCTGTTTTGCAAGCCAGCATCAGTGAATCGCTTTCTAAGCCCCCTGCTTTGAAAGCTTAAACCCTCACATGATTGATGCTTAATTTTTTGCAATGTGATCAAGCTGTTGTTGTGATACATCAAATCTGTAGTAATTTCAAAAAGTGCTTGTTCTATTCATGGAATGGCTATCGGTGGGGTAAACCAGCCAGGATGCAGCAGGGTATGTGCAGTTAAAAAAAAAGAAAAAAGAAAGAAGAGTCAGCATTTTTTCCATCCTTTGAGATTTAACTCTACCAGCTGATCTAATCTTCAGTGCTTTTCACACAACTGCAATCATCCTTGACAGATAAACAGAGAGCAAATAATCTTCTTTTCTTGTTTCCACTTTATGCCCATTTTGATTCAAGATGAAACCTGGAATTCACCTCCCATGATTAAAATAAATTAACCGTCCTTAAAATTCCTTCTTTTTCCTTTCAGGAAAATTACAGCATAGAGTAGCATCTTAAAAAGTCCATTTTTGACAAACTTCATTTCAGTCAGAGAAAATCTACCACAACGAATTTAAAGGATTAATGGAAAAAAAATCCAGATCAAAGCTTTCCCTCAAAGGTTCTCCTCTAGCATACCTATATAAGCCAAAGGAGTGAGCAAGAAGCCACGCTTTCTGTGCCCTCAGAGGAATGCGGAGCTGATTATTCAGAAGCAGACCAACCTGTGTATGCTAGTTTCCTGCGGACTGTAAGCATGACTTGGCCATTACGAGCAGCATTGGTCATCAGCTCCAGCACTTGTTTGTGGGATTTGCCCTTGACTGGCACGCCATCTATACAAAGTAGCTCATCCCCTGCCCGCAAGCGCCCGTCCTTCTCAGCTGCACCGAGTGGCACAATGGCACCAATATATACCTGCGGAAGTAAGATGGTGTAAGAGACATAGCTAAATATACCGATCTGAGGGAGATTCATGACACAGACTGGCTGGTATTTTCATAATACCATTCCCAGAGATGGGAAAAGAAACTTTCAGTTAATATTAAATCAACAGAATTCAGCTTCAATTTGGTGTCAGTCTGCTGCTCTTATGACTGAGGGTCTCCAACAGTACTTTTAAATGGATGCTGGCCTCCGACTTACTGGCTGATCTGGTCCCTCGCCCCCAAGGACTCTAAAGCCAAAGCCTGATTCCTGATTCCTTTTGATGAATACATCCAGGTCCTTTGTATTGGGAGCTGCACAGAGAAAAGAAAATATAATTGGTAAAAAACTGATGAAAAATATTCATTAACTGCAAGAATGAAATCTCTCATGACCATCAGGAAAACACCTAGATACTTGACATGGGCAACAACACACCTATACATAAGAAAGACGCATGCTGACCACAAGGCAATCTGAGATTAAGCAATCTAAACTAGGTCAGCTGTTTTTGGAAACTCTAGAGCAATATTTTCCCTCTTGCCGAGCCAGAGATGACACTGCTAGCGATGTTAATGAGATGATGTTGTCAGACGCTAACAGGAGGTGGCAGAATCTTTTTGTCTGTGTTTGTGGTCTATAAGTAATTCATGTGGTGCATGTGCACAGATTTGATTCAAAAATGCTTTGACTGTATTATTTTGATTGCAGTATTTCGTTGTGACATAGGAGTAAGACGTTTGCGTCTTTTTGTGTCGTATTTGGCTTCTGTGTCCCCGAAATTCAGTAACAAGTGTGTTAGCATTTGCAAAAGACTGTAAGCTGGTTTTAGAATTGCACATCTGAGGATTTGATTTCTTTGTGTAATAATGAAACACAAAGTAGCAATTTGAATCAGCATTGACACCGGTAACTTGTTAATTTCACTAATCCAAAAAATACGTTAAAAAACATGAATGAATTAAATAAAACTTTGCATCTGTAGTAAAGTTTACTACTGTAAACTGTGTAAGTATAAGTACTCTTGTACTTACGCTTGCTGTCTAGAATGGCCTTGGACTTGAGGTAGAGCTCAGATGCATCTGGTTTGGGTGAAGCTGAGCGCAGGGTGCTGGAGGAGAACGTTGATGCATTGGGGGATGCCTCAGGCTGACTTAGGGTCTCTGTGCTGCTGATCATCTCCTGCCTCTGCTGCTGCATCGTGGGCTGAGGGAACGGATGGACCATTTGTTGGGGCACCGAATGAGGTGCCTGGTGTGAAGTAGGCTGGGCTACTCCGTGAGACATGGGACCTGTGCACTGCAACATAGAGACAAGCAACGTGATATACAAGATGGTAAAGCACGAGCTCATTATAAGGCAATCATCCATTAAACTAATGGATTATATATTACATGTTTTTTGCCAATGTGTTCAGCATCATTGTATTATGTCTGCAGGTTATTTAATAAAAGGTATTCTATACTATAGCAATGATTTATGTCTAAAGTAGGAAGGTAGCTAATGGAGGGAAAAAATCATTAAAGCTTGTCCAGAGTGACAAACTACTCCACCGGCATAAAATGAAAGAAAATAAAATAGTACATCCATACAGATCTGAATAATTATGCATTGAACAAATAAAACAGTATGAGTAAGCCTGTCGGTGCCCCAACACTCTCTATTTTAAGAGTGCATCATGGAGGAGTAGCAGAGGAACAAGCTGTTGAACATGGCATATCATCTTAAACACCCATACACAGAGGGATGCTAAGTTGCCGTTTGCCAGAAGCCAGCATATTTACCCACATGCAGTTCCAGAAATAACAGCCTGGCTAATGTGGGCTCCCTGAATGATGCTTCTAACAGCAGCTACTACAGCATGCACACGTTTACACGCTGGGGCTTGCGGGTAACCAAGACAAAAGTTTTCTGGTTTAATAATTCATCAGCAGTTTTAGCAGCAGAGTCTATTTTTTTTCATCATACAAAATGGATTTGAACTGACAGAAAACTTACTGGTTTCAGTGACTTCACTGGAGACGTCTGACCTGTGAGCAGAGAGACAGAAGTGGGAATTAAAGTGACGTCATTAACAACACAACAGCAAACATCTGCCAACATCTGCTTACATCAGATTAAATTATTTAAGGACGAGTTGCATTTTGCATTTTCTTCACTCTACTACAGATTTGAACTTTTGGCCTGAAGTGGTTGAATGTCAAGACTAAACCCTCTCTCGGTTCTTATACAGAATCTGCACCTTCTTCTCCACCGACTCACACGGTGAACTTGCTCATAGGTTTCAGATTTGGCTTTTGTTTTTGTTCTCTCTGACATGGTCATGGTCACAGAGCAGAATGTGAACCAGAGTGTAAGTAAACCAGTAGGGGGCAGTAGACTCCAGTTGCATGAACGGTTTATGGGATGAGAGACAGATGACCTTAAGCCATGGGAAAACATGCATTTCTGTGGTTTAAACCTGCCAGCTGTTAGCTACATTACTAGAGCAGCATAAACACTGAAGCTTTTCAGATTTGAATTTTCATCAAATCAATTTATTACAAAGACAATTACTGGCATCGATTTAATAAAAAAAACATTTAGTCCCCCCCCCCACCCCCATTTCCAATATTATGTAAAAATTCACTGGCAATATCTCCATTTTCACAATCTCTGATCATATCATATTTCAGATACTGAGTTCAGAACACAACCCATGGGGAAGGGCACTTTGTCTCATTTCCAGATTTAAATCCAGTATAGGGAGCAAGGCCAAATAATTTCCTGTTTCATTTCTCGCTGCTCTGCTGTCATTAGAAGGTAGTTCTAGCCCCCGGCTGGGAGTAAAGCCTACCCTAATCCCAGTCCATGGGTGACCTGAGGGAAGCCCTGCGGCACTACTCCTTTTAGTCCTGGAAAGCTATGATCTGCTTTTTTTTTTAACATTAACACACAAATCCTCCATATGCACTGCAATTAAAAAATGCATATCAGGCTGGCACAGCAGCATACACACAAACTACAACCCCCTGGAGCTCAACGTAGACCCCAGCTGTGCACATCTGATATGTGGGTGCAACACTGATCTCTTGAATCTAGGCTACTGCACTGCAGTAAAGGCATAAAGGAACAAGCCCTTCAAATCTGTGAAAGCATGAAGTAAGAAGAAGGGCAATCATTATTCACTGTGCTCCATCACTCCTACCTCCCCTCTCACTTTCTCTCCAGGCAGCAAGTGAATCACCAAAACTGCCATCTATTTGCACCTTCCTAGCATAGCTCATCATGTGACTAAGCATGACTTCCTCCCTGTTTGGGAAAGTGCATGGTGGATGATGCAGAGCTGGTGTAGACCAGAGCGTGAAATTGCTTTATTTAACATTGGGAGAGTCTGTGTATTCAAGCAACACCTACTGAACACCACAATGCGTGCTGTTATTTTTAAATTAAAACATTGTGCATTACATTAAATCTCACCTCTTCTACAGTTGAAATATCTTTGACAATGTCTCACTTTCTCGCAGGAAATTATTTACAAATGGAAGCAGACTGTTCACCTCTGTTGTTACGCTCTGTGTTTTCTTTTGGCCAAAAGAAAGTAAAGAAATAGAACAGGTGGCGTAAAGGTGAGTGAGGATTAAAGTAACTTCAGAAACGTGGGTCTAAATAGCACTAACGCCTGTATTTTGTGTAAACAGCAGATTAATATAGACATCAGCGATGTCACAACATACGTACTGTAAACTCACCACCTGTGATATCCTTCTATAATGTCAGTGTTGCAGGCTTACCTGCAGCAGAAGTGTACAATAGTACAATAGCAGCAAAGTGAACTTTCATCATTGCTGACTCACCTCCTCTAAGCACCAGCACGTTGACCTCACTGCCCACAGGCAGGTCTTTGAGGATGTCGACCACCTGCGAGTGGCTCAAAGTTTGGACATTCTGTCTGTTGATCTCCTTGATAACATCACCCTTCAACAAGCCGCGGCACCACTGGGCGTCCAGGATCATCTTTACCTTTTGTCCCAGGGGGCAATCCGCTATAGCAAAGCCAAAACCTCCCGGGCCTTTCACCAAGGGCACACTCACCAGCTCCGGCTGTAATAGAGTAGGGTCAGGCCCTTCTTGATTAAGGGCATGTGGAAGGTGGTGGTGTTGATGGGAATGAGGATGGTGGTGGCGTCCTCCGTTGGTCATAGGTGGCACTGACGCAGTCTGCCGAGACAGGGTTGCTCCATCGTTGACAGCATAATTGAGGTCTTGTGGTGTCGAAGGGGAAGGAGAAGTGTCCTTAGAGGCACTGAGGTTGCTCGATGCCTCCTCACTATTGCTGGTGTCCTCTGGCAGAGGGTAGCCCCGACACAGGACCATGTCCACATACTGATTGACTGGGATAGACTGGAACATCTGCACGACATCAGCATGAGTCTTTCCCAGCACGCATGTCCCATTAATGTCCACAATTACGTCACCTAAAGAAGAACAAAAAGCTTTTACACATTTGTGACATGAATAAATTGGACAAAATTTAAATTTCTGTATTCATCACCATGCCAAAGGAAATTTTGAAAAGTACTATTACAACAATACACCATTAAAAAGACATGGTGAAAAGCGCAATTATGCAATTGGATTACATAAGTAGACTCCTATATCTTAAAAAATTCAAACATGTTAACGGGGGAGGAGGGAGTGTGCGAGAACAGAAAATAAAACGAGGTCATTGACGTGTTTTCTTTTTCCTCCTTTTATCTCCATGTACTGTAAAGGATAGACTCTAATCACCCCTGGCCTGCCCCAGATATAGGTCTGGATAAGCAGCTGAATTGCTGACTAGCTAGGTGGCTAGATGCCCAGAGGTGGATTGCCCACCCACACAATCGATACTTTACCAAAGAAAAAACAAAGGCTACGTTTTCACTCTCGTGAGTGAGCTTCATATTCCAGTTTGTTGCTTGTTCAGACCAACTACATGTCGCTCATACGATTAGTTCAACAGCTACATATCCAAAAAGCTAAGCGAAATATATTTTCTCACAAAGTTCAAACACTCAACCTTTAGCATAAATAAATGCCATAGGCCAATACTCAGAAATGAAAAAAAAAAAACCCTACTTGAAGATGTTACAGTCTACTGCTTGCAATTAAAACCCAATGAAATTAATTACATTCATCTTTTGTTATAGTCAATTACCCTCCTTCTCAAGGGAAATGAAACACTGAAAATAATTATTCTCTTTGCTCCACTCTTAAGTTGATTCTCAGCAGCCGCAATGGCTCGGCAATCAATACTACGGTAATGTGAATCTTAAGGCATTACACAGTAACATACTTCAAATTAATACAGTCACCACGCATGTGATCACAGAACTAGAACATGCAACAATAAAGAACTTACTGTGCCACTTGCAAAACACACTACATGGCAGACTCATATACATCCCCTGTTTTTACATAAGCATGTCAACCTGCAGCCACGCAGCCTGAATGCAGGCTAATTACATTTTTAATATACGAGTGCGTATAAAATGTGAGCCTCTACTATAAACTACACACGGGTTTATTGATGACTTCTCTATTTTTCGAGCTGCTCCACTGAACACTGCCTATAAACATTTGTCTTTGCTTGATCAAGCAATGTGATATTCAGAGTGAAGTGCCTGTTCGGTTTTTTGCCTCCGAATGTGTTTATTTGTGTGTACACAAAGGGCACATTAAGCTGTATTATGTACAGAATGTATGCTAATGCCCAGCTTAAGTGTTACTGCGTGAATAAAGATAAATGCCATGCACAGTTACCCGTGTACACGTGAATGTGACACTGGATTTTGTTGACTTTGCTTTTAAACAATTGTATTACCTTGCATTATGGAAACAAATTACAGCAGGGTGGTCTCCAACTGTTAAAACAGCATGCGAACCAGATACTTAAAAAACATTATGTCTGTGGGGAATGCTACCTGAGGCAATCTTCTTGTCATGTGCTGCAGGCCCATCTGGCAGGACGTTTTTGACCTGGAGGAACTCGTCAGGTCGGTCTCCGCCAATAATGGTGAATCCAAAGCCCTGGGGGCTTTTTCTAAGTGCTGTCTTAAGTATGTTGCCCTGCAACTGAGTTGGATCTCGAGTAAACCCCCACATTCCCCTGCCAGGCTCCTCTGCTGTGGAACCTAAAGGAGACGTAGACAGAAGGTAATCATTAATGATCTAATATCACAAGTACGCTCAGTAAAATTATTGCACTAAATGTTTGGGGTGTGAACACATTCTTTACACCATGCTTTCAATTCCACACACAAAAATGTTCGGACAGAACACATGTACAGACAGCAAAAGCTTCAGAAGTGGCTAAATGAACAACTGAAAACTAACATATTTACATTTCAGCTGGGAAAAGGCCTGATTTCTAAAGAATATTAGTTTAAACACATCAAAATAAACAGATTCCAATGTGATTAGTTCATTTAAAATTTTGCCTGGTGCTCTACAGAAGGCAAAAAAGTGTCAAAATTCACTTAATTGCTTCTGTTTACCTGCTGGAAACAGTTTCAGTTTAAAAGTAATTGGATGTCTTTTCATCTTTTAAACTGTAAATGAAGTCACAGTGGCGTCAGTTACACATGAATGCAGCAAGCCTCTGTAGTTCAAAAGTTTGTGAGACGGAATTGTACGTGTATGCGAAAATGAGCCCAGTATAGGAAGAGACACCGAAACGCTTGCTCATAAATTGCCATCTGTCACCATCATAACAATACTCGCACAGTGACAACATGTCTGACAGCACATCACTTACTGCTAGTAATTACATGAACACTAAGAACTCACAGTTTGAGCGCAAACTCCAACAAATCACACGCGCACACACAAACAGAGACACACAACTTGCAAAACCACTGCTCTGTTTACAAAGCCAATAAACACCTAGTTATTGCAAAATGCCTAAAGTTTGCCCAAGTCTCCCCGCAAACAACCAATTCTTTTCACTGCAGTGATAAATCCATCCTGAAACGCACCTGACATTTTCCAGGTAAACTTTTCATTGCAAATTTCCTTTGTGTTGCCTGCAGGATGTGTAAATGGGGCGCTTTTATAGAAGACAGGAACAGAATTATATTAGACAGTGTGTGCGCGCGTGTGTGTGTGTAGGTGTGCATTTGTGCAAAAGAGAGCAAGATAAGAGTGATGAGACAGAAAGAGACAGCAAGAAATAGAGTTAGCCTTGACAGAAAGAGAGAAATTGTAACTAAATCCGAGCTTGCCCTTCTCTGTGGTGTGTGCCTATGAGATTGTGAGTTATGTGCTCTGTCCCTGCGTGCTGGGCTTCTACTCTGGCAGTTCCCACACTGATAGATGCTGGGACATCAATCTCATTAGGGAGAGCACAGATAGAAGTCCCCCCTTCCCCTGTCTCCTACACCACTCTCAATGTGTCATGGGATTGTGATTTGCATAATTGCATGGCAATTGGCAGAGGAACGTGACCGCTCTGAAAAGACAAAAAAGATTATGCCAAGTATGACTTAGATGACACTGCTGCGTCAGTGCCGGACAAGTACAAGGGATATTCTAACAAATGTCAGTCTATGTTGAGCAAGGATTTGCAAGCAGGTACAAAAACATGAAATTCTCCTGAACAACCTGGAGCACAAGTGTGTAATAAGTATGATTTATGATGGAACTAATCCCTGTCAGATAGCTCCGACATACTGAAACAGTCTTTCTCGCACAATCACTTCGAAGGCAATACTGGCATAACAGTAGTGGAGAGAGACAATCACAAGTGGGATGAAAAGGGAGCTACACACCAAAGCCATGTTTACATGGTCTTGATTAAGCTGTAGGCCACAAAGGGACAGTCAAGTTTCCTTAGGGTGAAGCGATTATATGAAATGTCTGACAGGATTCTCAGCATGATAATTATGGCTGAACATAGGGCGGCGCTTTGCTCTTGTGCTCTGCGGCATTGTCTGGGAGGTCAGGTTAGCCAGCCTTGTCAAAACAGTGTTTAGAAGCCACCTCACGCACGTCCATACACTTGCACAAGACCACTAGCCATTAATTCTCATTAACAAGGGTGGGAATTTGGAGAACAAGCACAGGGGAGGCAGTCGAAGCTGGAGGCGGCGGTACGCAGCAATATCATCCACAAACTGTAGAAAGGCTCAGCTGTGGGAGGTGGGGTCTGCGTGCAACCGACTGAGGCAGACAGTTGTGTCCAAAGGGTGTCTGAAATACAGAGGCTAGTTTGAATACAAATGAGGCCATGCCTTTTGTGTTCACACGCAGAAGAGCATTATAATTCTTGCACATTTTACAACAACCTAGTCTTCTGTCTCTCAGACCTTTATATTTACTGAGAAGAGGGTGATTAGATCATCAAGCAGGAGCATTCCCCACAGGTGGTAAATGATGAGCAGATGACCCAGTGGAAATGCAATTTATGATCGTAAGTCACTTTCAACGGCAGTCACCTCTTTCTCCTTCCCTGTCTCTCTTATTTAACTCCCTCTGTTCTAAAGAGGGCTTTCAACTACCATGAGTGACTGTGGCAAAAGGATTTCAAAGAGACCTCAGAACCCGCCCTATATCATATCTACTTGTCAAAATGAATTCTGCCGCCCAGTGAAGCACTGTTCCATTATTCAAATTGAATATCATTGCTTCAGAGGCTATGGGCTGTTTATCAGAAGCCTGTCAACTGTTAGAACATCTTCCAGACAGACTTCTTAACATGACGGAGATGAAAAGTGCCCCAGTATTTTGATAACACATCTATTGCAGTGATATATATATATA